GCAGGAATGTTATAAGCAAGATACAAAAAGTAATTCTTCTGCTTTACTCAGTGCCAATTAGGCCTCAACTGGAGTATTATCTCCAGTTCTGGGGCCACATTTCAGGGAAGATGTGGACAAAATTAAGAGCCCAGAGAAGAGCAACAAATATGATTAAAAGTTTAGAAAACGTGACCTGTGAGGGAAAATTGAAAAAATTGGGTTTGTTTAGTTTGGAGAAGAATGGATTGAGAGGGAACATAACAGTTTTCAAGTACATAAAAAGTTGTTACATGGCGGAGGAAGAAAAATTGTTCTCCTTAACCTCTGGCTGTAAGGAAAAACTTCTTGACTGTCATGGTAGTTAAGCACTGGAATAAATTGCTTAGGGAAGTTGTGGAATCTTCATCATTGGAGATGTCTAAGAATAGGTTAGATAAACACCTGTCAAGAGTGGTCTAGATTAGGGATGTTAAAGTGCAGTTAAAAATATAACCATGTAACTGCTAAAAATCATAGCAGTTACATGGTTACGTGCTCTCTGGGCTAAGCTTTATATGCAAAGCCCGTAGTGAAGCCTCCCCAGAGAGACAAAGGCTGCAGCTGGCCCCACTCCTAGGAAGGAGACTTCACTGTAGCAGCACAGCCGCTTCCCTGGGAGCAGGACTGGCAGGGGCTGCTGCTGGATGGGGCTGATCCATTGGGTCCTGTGGGAGCTGCTCCAGCCCATACCAGTTAACCAGAACCAGTAAGCCTCACCCATTAATGGTGAGGTTAAGCAGTTAACCTGTTAAACTTTTACAGTAAAACCTGTGTTATCCGGCATGCCCGGGGATTAGGGCATGCCGGTAACCTAAAAATTCTGGTTATCTGAGGGGGAAGGGCGTGGAGGGAGGAGCCATGGGGGGGCCTATGGGAATGAAGGGGCATGGGAGCCGTGCAGGGCCTATGGGCGGGGGACAAGGGAGCCATGCAGGGGCTGGGATGTGGCCTGCTAGCGGGGCCACAAGCCACGAGGGGAGGCTAGATACGGGCTGGTGGGGGGGGGGG